TTGCTATGGGGCAGGAAGGGAAGGTAAATCTTTCGAATGGGACAGAGAAGGATAAAAAACTTGATAGGGGCTATAACCCCTTCCCTAATCTATCCAAAATGAAAAAGTTTAGTTCACCAGCTTTAGTTCTGAATTACATTTATTATTATAGTCCTAGTAAAAAAAAATGGTTATAAGAGGCATCTATATTGCACATGTCATATGTTGACCAGATCTCCATTTTTTATACAGTTGCCACTATGAGTTAAAACATTTCAAAGCTATATTGGCATATATGTTTTGCTTTAGGTTCAGGTTTACTTCAAAATAAGATATTCACGGTAGGCACCTCTAATACCTGCTTTAGGGTTAGTGCACACAGGCTGCAGACTCAGATGTAAGCCATACAGAAAAAAATGGCTTGCACTTGAGATCAGTTTGAGGTCGGTTTCAAACCAGTATAGAAAGCATTTGTGATGCATGTACACTGGGGTTGATTTACTAAAGGCAAATAGACTGTTAACTTTTCAAAGGGAGTTTGCACTGTGCAGAGAAAGTTTCCCCTTGGTTTAGTGAATGAGGTGAAAATTCACTTTGCAAAGAATACCCAATCATGTGCAAGGAAAATAAAAACACAGTATTTTTGCTAGCACATGACTGGATGATATAACACAGCAGTGCTTTACATCATTCACTAAGCTAAGGGGAAATTCCCCTGCAAATTGAAGTCAATTTGACTTTAGTAAATTAACCCCACTAATTCAGATAGTCAATGTAATTGTAGCATTAAATGCTAGTGTACACTGCTCAATAAAACCCAATTCCAGATTCAAATAATGAGGCTGATTCACTAAAGGAATTGAGAATGTTCCTACAATAAATTGTTTGAATATTCACTTCAATTATCCAATCGTGTGAAAGCAAATTGAAGTGAATATTCACACAGTTTATTGTGTGATCATTATCAATAAATCAGCCTCTGTATATTCCATATCCAAATAAATGCTCCATATCTGATAAGCAAAACAAAAATGCAATTTACAGCACATCTTATCATTCTTCTGTCAGTTGAATATTTTTAGCCAATAGGCAAAAATGCTTTAAAAAAATCCAGACTTCTGCTTTACTTTAAGGATTAGTCAGTAATGTTTGCTCAAAATCACACTACATTAATATGAAAATACAGAGGAATCACCCTTTAAACATTCAGCAGATGTGGTTTACATTTCAGTAAAAGCAACAGCTTTATTAAAGGAGAACTATGGGGTCAGTGTTTTTCTCCATAGTTCTCCTTAGGGTAACGGGAGGACACAAACTAGCGTCCTCCCGTTACCTTAAGCTGCAGCTCGCGGTATACTGAGACGCCGCAGCCGGAGCGGATACCGACTTAGACGACGAGATCCGCCCAGCTGCGTGAGTGACAGCTGGCTCTGCCTTACTAGAGGCAGAGCCATCTGTACCCGCCCCCTCCCCCATCCGTTCCGCCAGTCAACGCTGGCAGATCGGAGAATCCAGCCCCTCCCCCTGTCACGGCAGAGAGCCGTGACAGGATCGAGAGGTGGGCGAACCCGGTATGTGTTCGCTCACCTCCCGATCTACTGAGCCGACCTGTGACAGTCTTATTGTCACAGGTCGGCTCGAACTATGAGGTGAGTGAAAAGCACTCACCTCATAGTTCTCCTTTAAGTATTCAAAGTTCTGGGAACATGATTACTTTGGAAATGCGTCTTTGTGATATTGGAACATCAAAGGCTTACAAGAATGTTTTATTTGCACATTGTTGTACAATCGTGAAAAGTAAGTACATGGAAATCACTGATTTTTTTCACCATATTTAATGAGGCAAAAATTATATCTTCATTCAAACAGTGACTACAAATAAAGGTGATATTCTGGACAAAAAAATAAGGAAGATTTGCCTTTTAAATTATTTTATTTATATAATGGTGTACTGTGAAAAATAAGTACACCCCTGGCTTCAGAAGCGGGAAACCACCCTTCTAGCAGAAATAATTTCTTGTAGGCCTTTTGTATAAATGGCCACCAGTCTCCGACTTTCTCTTTTTTTTGACTACTCCTCAATGTAAAATTCCTTCAGTTGCATCATGTTTATGAGTTTCCTTGCATTACCTGCCATCTTCAAATTTCTTCCCCAACATTTTAATGGGATTCAAATCAGGGCCTTGATTAAGCCAGTTCACAACACTCCAACTCTTTTTTTCTAACAATTCCTTGGGGTTTGCTAGTATGCCATAGTTCATTATCGTGTGGAAAGCTCCAACTTTCGGACAGATGGCCTCACCTTTTCATCAAGCACACTTTGATATAACGCAGAATTCATAATTGACTCAGTGGCTGCAAACCACCCAGTCCCTTAAGCAGCGAAAACACACTGAAACCATAACTTTTTCACCTCCTACAGTTGGTATAAGGTCCTGTTCCTGAAATGCTCTCTTTGGTTTGACCCGAACAAGTACCACTAATCTTTGATTCATCAGTCCATGACACATCGTTCCACAAAGCCTGGTCTTTATTTATATGTTCAATGGCAAATTGTGATTTTGCTCTAATGTTCTTTTTGGACAGCAAAATCTTTTCCTAGTACACCTCCCACACAGGTTACATTGATGCCATCTCTTTCTGAATGTAAATGCATGCACATTGACACTAGCTGTTGCAAGAGTTACCTGAAGATCTCGCAGTGAAATGTTGTAGTTCTTGGAGACTTTTAACATTAAATGAACTGCTCTTGGGCTAAAGTTGCTGGTCTGGACAGTCTTACGCATTCATTTGAAATGTAATCCACTTGTACATTATTTTCTTCATTGTGAAATAATACATGTAGATAATATGGCATCTTTAAATCCCTATTCAGACTCATAGGCATCCATAATCTTCTTTCTGAGGGCCTTAGGGAGCTCTTTTTATAATAGCACGATGACACCACACACATCAGTAGCAAAGAGAAAACCATACCCTAGGTGATGTATATGGTGTATATGATGCAGGTACCACCTGCATACTTCCTATAAAGGTTCTTATCATTGGCACCTAATGTGATCTGTTTCTAATTTCAGTGTTTTTAAGTGGTGGTAAATGTAAAGGTGTACTTACCATTTCCATGGGACAAAGCCACATTTCTTTAATTTAGATTGTGATAATGAATATACCATCTCAATGTTATTTGTCATTTGTTCAAATATATCAGCTGTTTCTGTAGGCACAGTTTAAATGAAGCCTCAATATTTGCCTGTTCAGATATGTCAAAAAAGTCAATTTCCATGGGATGTACCTACTTTTTCACATGACTGTACATGTCTATGTGAAATCGCTAGGTTCTGGGTATATTTCCATATTTATGAGAGAAGGTCCATTGTTTATGGCCATTATCATGAAGAGGATATGCACCAGTAACTGTACACAGATGTTACTCAGGCTGTTAGAATTAGACTGGTGGTACAGTCTTTTTTAGTACATGACAGGTGCAATTACAAACCTTTCTGCCAAGCTACCCAGAAACCATCTAATAATTTACAGCACTGGCTACATAATTGTTGTGATGTTATAACATGCCACCTGAGCTCTCCTTTTAGCCAGGTAGTAGGATCACTGCCATGTTTCTTAGGGTGAGATCATGCCTTTCCCAAACACACACAAATATTCTGTACCTATAACAAATGAATTGTAGCGGGACACAATCTCCAGTAGACATTTTAATTGTTTAACGAGTTTCAGGGTTCGAAAGGGTGACCCACATAACATACTTTTTTTTTTTTAAATACCCTCTCCGGAATTCTCATATTAGTCCAGGCACCGTGAATCACAACTTTATCTCCAGAAAAGTGGAAAATGCTTTTTTTTTCTAATGATCACACAATAATCTCCATTGGACAAGTTTATAAAGGCTGAAAAGACACTGTTATCATTAGTACAGTAAAATCATAAAAAAGCACCCTTAAATCCTTTAATTTAAGCCAAAAATATTTTAATCAAGGAAATATCTGTGTTTATTAAAACTCAGACACCATTTTCAGATATTGTATTAATTGAATTTGTTTTTGTAGATTTCCTTTTCAACTATTATGAAATAGTTTCCATGAGACCTGCTAACTGAACCTTACTCTTCATCCCTAGTGCATGAGTTATTGGGGTTGATTTACTAACCTTATAAACACACCACGAACATGTATACACCTCTGTAGTGTGTTCCCTCCCAGCATGATCTATGGGTGGAATCTAAACACCTTTGTAGTGTGTACACACCCAGCAGGTGTGTTGTGCAAAGCCCTGCCCTGAATTGCAAGGTGATGTTGTGTAAATTAGCTCTACATTGTGTTGCTTGCGTTGATAAATGCAGGAATGTAAATGCATGCGCTAACCATTTTTGTCTAAACTGTGAAGCAGCATTATATATGCATCATGTGCATGATTTTTCCATATATGGCATTAGTGGAAACATGCTTATAGAGACTTTTTGGTTGATAAATACGCTTTGCTGTGTAAAAATCACACACACCTGGTGCGTGCGTGTGTGTAGGTTAGTAAATCACCCCCTCTGTGTCACTCAAAATATTGATTGAGCTTTCATGTGGCACAACACTGATGACTAAATAAGGACCTGCACCTAAAGGAGTGACACAGAAAATGAGTAAACATAAGTAACTCAAGAAGATACTCATATTAAAAAAACTTTAGAGATAAGGTAGTGGCACATAGCAATGCCACTTTGTGTATTAAGTATAAGCTTCATCTCATAAGAGAAAGCTGGGG